GGAGGCTGAGGCAGGAGGATTGCTTGAGCCCAGGAGTCTGAGGTTGCTGTGAACTAGGCTGACACCATGGTACTCTTAGCCCAGGCAACAGAGTGAGACTGTTCAAAAAAGAACAGCATTGAAGAGCGAGCTTTCAGACAGATGAACACACGGAGTTCCTAGAGGGTAGTGCACCTGGAGAAGACACGAAGCTCCGTGCCCCTTCCCATACGCCATGCCCTATGCATCTCTTCCATCGGCTGTCCATCTATATCCTTTGCAATATCCTTTATAATACACAGTAAATATAAGTGAAGTGTTTCTCTAAATTCTGTGAGCTATTGTAGCAAATTAATTGAACCCAAAGAGGGGTTGTAGGAACCTGGTTTATAGCTGGGAGATCAGAACACAGGCTACAACCTGGACAAATTGGCATCTAAAGTGGGGGACAGCCCTCAACTTGGAATCTGATGCTATCTCCAGGTAAATAGTGTCAGAATTGAGTTAAATTATAAGACACCCAGTTGGTATCTGCTGAATTACCTGGTTGCTGATGCAGAAAAATCTCCACACATGTTGGCAACCAGAGGTACTATATTGTACTGAGTTTGCATTGGTTTGATTTTCCCCGTATCTCTTGTAGTACCATTCTGGTAGGTATTGTTGATAGTGGTAAAAGCTGTGGGTTTATGGGAACATTGAGTATAAGGAAATTCTCTGTACTTTCTGCTCAATTTTGCTGTGAACCTAAAACTGCTCTTAAAAAAGTAAGTCTTACAAACAACAACAACAAAGACACCAGGAAGATTGGTACACGTGTATCAATTATGATTAAAGGGCTATAAACAGAAAAGAAGAAGTATAGATCTGGAAGGTTAGTGGTAAAAGCACTAGAGGACATCCATTATGTACAATGGAAACCACTAACAAAATATCTAAAATTTAAAATTTAAAAATCATGGTGGAAAGAGACTTCATAATTCATATCTAGTGTCTAGTTTCTGCAGCTATTTTTCTTGAACAGATGAAAAATTTCACTACTAATCAACAATATCCTTCTCATCACAAATAAACTTCTAGAGTAAATTCAATGATTGATTCTCTATTATATTGATTCCAAAATACAGAAATAAGAACTTAGCCCGGGCGCGGTGGCTCACGCCTGTAATCCTAGCACTCTGGGAAGCCGAGGCAGGCGATTGCTTGAGGTCAGGAGTTCAAAACCAGACTCAGCAAGAGCGAGACCCCGTCTCTACTATAAATAGAAAGAAATTAATTGGCCAACTAATATATATAGAAAAAATTGGCCAGGCATGGTGGCACATGCCTATAGTCCCAGCTACTTGGGAGGCTGAAGCAGAAGGATTGCTTGAGCCCAGGAGTTTGAGGTTGCTATGAGCTAGGCTGATGCCGTGCCACTCACTCTAGCCTGGGCAAGAAAGCAAGACTCTGTCTCAAAAAAAAAAAAAAAAAAAAAACCCAGAAAAATACATTTTATTTTCTTATTCTCTTGGCCAACCCGTTTCTACTCTTTAGGGACCTTAAAAATATTACAGTGCCTATCTTCCAGCTCCTGGCTACAGAAACCCAATTTGAATAGAAGGTTGGTATGTGACTACAGCTGCCCAACCTAAAAGGAGTTTAGCCTTCTTTTTGGGCCTTCCTTCTGAGCAGCCTTGGTTTTGGTGGCCTGCCCTCTTATTTCTTCTTTCTCATCTTTATATTTCTGAATGCTAGGGTCTTTTTTCATGCTTCTAAAGTTGATTTTTAGCGTAATTTGAAGAGCAGGATGCTTTTCAGCCTGCAGGGTCAGTGTTGTCTATTTTATCCTAGCCTCCTTGTGAGCCAGCTTGCTATTCATCTCTCCTTTCTGTGGGCAGAACCAGATTCACAGTCCAGTTTTGCTTTATCTCAAGCCATTGAAGCAAGCAAGCTGCTAACCCTATTTCTCTTTCACCATCACTAATAATAATGGTAGCTGCTAACATTTGCTGAGTTAGCTTTTTATGCTTTATGTGTGCATTATTTCATTTACTGCAACCATCTTATGAAACAGATAATATTGTGCTCAAGCCATTCAGCTAGTAAACAGTGAAGTCATGATTCAAACCTAGGAAGCCTGACTCACAGCCTCTGCTGTTAAACATCACTTATTATAATGTGTCAAGTTTGGAAAAAAATCTGTCTTATAAAGGTGACTGTTGACCCTGTTCTCTTTTCTTAGGAACTAGATAACTTGATTAGTAGTTAATAGAGTCCTTTATTAGCTACCTGGGAAATGTTTTCTATACACTGAATCCAGGTACTATGTCTTCTAAAGGACCCACCGACTAAAAGAAAGCATATAAGCTTTATTAATCCTGACCTCTTGGTCTTCTAAAAGACTACTGGTGGATTTCAGATTTTTTTGTTTTCATTAAAAATCTAATGTACAAGTAAAACCTGAGATCCCATGTTGTAAATTCAGTCAAAATGGGACTTCATAACCATGTCCTAAGATTTCTTCTTTGCCTGCCCAAAAGCTAAAATCCTTAATAATAGCCCTCTCCTAGGAAACTTTTTAGGATCTGGGATATACATTTTGTTTCCTAAGTTTTCCCGACTTAACAGAGACAAAAAGGAAATAAGATCTCTGTCTTAAAAAAAACACAAAAACCTCATTTTGTACCCTAAGAATATTTGTAAGGAGTCTCAAATTATTTTTTGGAACAAGTTTCAAAATGAACATATACATTTCTAATATGTTAAATATTCACTTGTGTAATATTGAATGACAATTTCTCTCCTCTGATTTCCAACTAGCATTTTGTTTTAAAATCTGTTGCAGAGATATGCCACATCTCCTTAAATATAGTTGATCTGTTTGTCTTCTTCCATCAATATGCATTTTTTCATAAAATACCCCTTATTTAGAATGTCTACCATCATCTTTTATTCCATTCCATGTGTGCATTTTCCCTAAATTTCTCTCAAGAGGCTTCCTCTAAATGCTTTCAGGATCAGGAATATATTTGCCAGGTTATCAACTAACATATTTATTTAATAAATCTTACTGCTTAGTACTATGAGGATTACAAAGACAAAGAATAAATACAGGAAACTTTTGATTTATTAAACATCACTATATGCAAGACATTTTACTTAGGTGTTTTACTTCTCTCTTAAGTCTTTTAATAAAGATGTTGAACAGGAATAATGCCAACTTTTAGGTATAAGACAGCCGTACATGAAAACGATAAAAGTCACACAGCTAGTACAAAATGGAGTTGTAATTTATTCTAGTCAATCTGCAAGTCATTGCATCTGTGCCTAACTAGTATAGGGAAAAAGTATTTATTGAAAGGATACTGGGGTGGGACAGAGTCACGGGAAGGGCAGGGATACAGGTTGTCTTCAAAGATAACTGCTACTTGGGACACTGGGATTGCTAATGTTTTTTCAAAAATCTGTTTCTTTTTTCTGTCAGTTGGCTTCAGTCTCTCCTGATGCAGACCAGCAGGAATACCAGCATTCCCCAAACATCATAGTTTAGAGTTGAGAACATGCTAGGGACTCTGGCTTGACTGGGGTCAGTTTCCTGCCCCTGAATTAATATCTTAAGGTAGGAAGGGAAGGGTCACATAAGAGACCACCATTGGGGTTTCACTCTGTCTATTAGGTTAATTCTCAGAAAAAGGCTGCTCACTATGAACTGGGTAGTACCACTCCAATTAGCATATAACGCTGTATTGAGATTTAGGTCTCTCGTATTCCCAATCCCAGTGTTCTTGCCACTGCTTCCACTATACAGTGTATCATTGAGGATATTTATAATGTATTAATAGTTGGGGAAATAGGACCTATAAAATATAAACAGGGAAGCATAAAAAAGGCATGGAATCAATAAGAGGGATAAGGTCTATTTTGAAGTAGGTATCACTTTGGGGTACTCATGAAGGCTTTCATGAAGAAGGGATACTTGATACGGCCTATGAAAGATAAATTCATCTTAGAAATGAAGAAATACTTTCCAAGTAGACCAACCAGCATAAACAAAAGTGAGAATAAATGAAACATTTTAACTGACAGTAAGGAGACCATCCTTAAAAGATGATTTAAGATTCAAATCCTGAACCTTCCAACTTGAAAACCCATGTTTATATTGCTATTAATACCATACAGTATATTGAATAAACACTAAATGAAATGATCAGGGGAGCTAGAAATAGATCAGGTTATTAACTGCTGTAGAAATGTGTAAAATTAAAGGGCCTAAGATGGTAACATTGAGAAAGAATGACATAGCTGAGAGTGAAAATATAACTGAAATATAAAGGCACTGGAAAATAAACATGTTAGAACCACATAGGACAGAGGACTGTTTACTCACTGATCTAGGAAAAGATCATCAATTTTGTAGGAATAGGATTAGTTCTAAGTAGATTAAGGTGGTGTAATGCAATATAAACCAAAATGCCTAGGCATGGAAATTGGAAAGAAGTCAGAGCTAGAGATCTGTGAGGAAGATGGGAAACCTGGTGAATGTTCTAAAGGAGTATGATGCAAAAAAAAAAATAAAAAAGTGGAAAGTGGGTGGTGGACTGAAACTTAAGGAATACCCACACAGTTAGTATGAAATGGAGGTGGAATTTTGGTTTTACTTTTCATATGTTGCTTGCTATCATTTTTTGTTTTGCTTTTTTCTGTATTGTGTCTCTGAGTAGACAATGTGCACCTTCATGATGGTAATCAAGCTGTCTATAGATTTAATACCTGTATGTGCTGGTCTCAAAATACATACTCAATAAATCACCGTTTTTTAAAACATTTTCATCAATTATTTTCAAACTTTTAGATTATGATGTTTTTTATACTTTTATGGCATGTTTGAAAGAATTCTAATTTGCTAAAATGTGATAACCAAATATATCAACTATATCTTATGATTTGCCTTTGCCTCAAAACCCACTGCTCCTAGCTTTGTTCATCTAATAACCTTGACCATATTTTTGAAAATATGAAATACTTTAAATGGTCCGTAGCTTGTCTGTTTAAAAGTACTGCATCTTAATAGAAGAGCAGTTGATCTAAAGCATACAATTTCAGAATCAACCTATAATATATTTATACTTTTAATCTTTTAATATCTTTTAATACTTTAGTGTTTTTGGTATATTACCAGAAAATGAAAAATATGAACCATTCCTTCTTTGCAGAAAGTCTATAATGATTGGTTTCTAAGTTTACAAGTATGGTATTAATTAAAGGCCAAAGTTTATTATGTTTTTAAATAACATCAATATTGGTATATTGGGATGAGAATTTCTGTTTTGATCCAATACTAGAGATATCTTAGTTAAGCCCGCTTATGGCTGGAATTCATTCCTTATTATTGAAAATTGGTAATTTCTGATCTCTCTTTTTTTCCCAATTTATTAGTGTCACATAGGTAGCAGAAGTAGGTTAGGGGTGGTGGTGAATATAATACAGATTTATATCCATTCTGTACACATTCTACCCAGGGCACTATAGAATCAGGAAAGGAGAACTAATGTTTATATTTGAATAAACTGTATTTTTGATATTTCTCTTTTTTTCTCATTTACAGGGAGTTGATTTTCATATGGAGTAAACTACAGCTTAAATCTAATCCTTCAAAACAAGTTTTTGTAGATCAATGCTACCAGCTTTTAAGAACAGCAACTAATGTGAGAGTCATATTTCCTTTCATGAAAATCATTAAAGATGAGGTAAATAGGACATATTTATCCCTTCAATTTTAAACTAAATTTAAGTAACAGTTCACTGAAACTTGAATCTCTTATGATAAATTTTATTTGATTATAAAATTGAACGGAAGAAGGATTTTAAGACCACATTCTGCATATATTACATCCTTTTCTCCCTCAACTCCAAACTCCCAACATGGACAAAGTTTATAAATAAGTGAAAATAACTGAAAAAAGACCAATATTTTTGTTATTTAAAATATAATATGGGAACACTTACTTCCATATCATTTCTTTTCTTATAATTAAATTTGTTACTTTTAACATCATCCTAAATCCCCTTTGTAGAATCCTTAACTAATCTGCAAATGAACTTTGTATATCTGTAGATGATACTTATTTACTAACACAGAGAAACTTAGTTCCAGTTTTAAGTCTGGTGTTTAGGTGAAAAGGAACAATGAATTCTGAGGCATTTTTAAAATTTAAGAACAAGTTTTTAAAGTGTTTATTTGATGTAACTGTAAAAACCCATTAAAAATAGTCCTGAATCAAATTTTTCTTGGGCCATTTGCGAGTAAGTGCAATTTTACATATGAGTCTTACATAGATAGACATGAAAATGGATCCTGCTGGCCTAGCATATTGGTGCATGCCTGTAATTCTAGCACTTTGGGAGGCTAAGGCGGAAGGATTGCTTGAGGCCAGAAGTTCAAGACCAGCTTGAGCAAGAATGAGACCCCGTCTCCACAAAAAAAGAAATATATGTGTGTGTGTGTGTGTGTGTGTATGTAAAAGAAAAAGAAAGAAAAGAAAGAGAAAATGGATCCTGCAGATATTGTAACTTTTCCTCAAAAGTATTAGCAGGACTTTGAATACAAAGACAGAAAAGATAAAGCCACTTTACATTTTAGGTAGTTCTATATTTAACTGATTCTTTATGTGGGTTACTTTTAAATATATAAGGAGGCATCCATTAAATAATGTATTTTATTTTTCTTATGTATTTATGCATTTATTAGTCATTATCATATCACTCATTAGATGTATGACCCTGTAGTGATATTTCCATGACACAAAGTTGGCAGCATTGCATTGGAGGGTTTTTTCTTTTTTAATTTCCAATTTATTTTGCTAACTGCATTCATAGTATCCGTATTAAATAGTGAAATGTCAGTCAAATGCATTGTCAAAGTTAACCTCTCCCTCCACGAAAAAAGGGAAAGCAAACTATGCTACAGTGTTAAGTGTTAACTAAACACTTAACATTTGATGTGCATTAGAATCACCCATAAAACTTTGTTTCTAAAAATAAAAATGTATGCATATTTTTTCCCACATATGATTCTCATTTGCACCAAAAGTTGAGAGATACTGTTATAGAAAGTTTATAATGTAAGTGAGGTTTTGCCAATTATCACAGAACTTTCTTATTTTTACATGTATGGTCAAATTAAAGAGAAAATTCAAAGATGAAATAAATATTAAAATGATGTGTAATAGTTTACAGTCTACTAAAAACACTTTTATTTGATGGAATAGGTCATTCAGTTCCCTCAGTGCTGTGAAAAGAGGCATAGTTACAATCGCATATGTATTTGAGAAACATTACAGATGGCACATCTGAAAAGGCTTCACAGAGGAAGATGCTTTAAGCTGGATTTTGAATGATAGATGAAGATAGTACTAACATTTATAGAGGATTTTGTAGTTTATAGAGCTCTTTAACCTTATTTTATTATTTGTTTTTTCACAACTATCTGGTGACATTAATAGGGTAATAGAAATGTGGGGAAGTGGATGGGAGATGAGACTAATAGGAGAGATTGGGCAGGGGGAGTGGCTGTTGGAGATCTAAAGGGACTGGAATACTGCACTAAAAGTTGGAACTTAAGTTCATAAATATCCTGGGACCATTAAAGGATTTGAGGTAAGGAAGTAACCTGTTCCTTTTTATGATCTTAAAATTTTTAACTTGAGTATCTTCTATATATTATAATTTTATGAGACAAGATAGAGGATGTAGATAGAACTTTGGAGAAAGAAAAGGAATTCTGTTTTGAGTGAATGGATTTTGAATTTGCTATATCTAGAAAATCTAGGTGGGAAAAGCAAATTGTAACAAAATTTGAATTAAGGAAGGATTCTAAGCTAGAGATGATGGATTTATAGGGGCAAACTAAAGTCAGTAGAATAGATCTGACTCTCATTCATTCTGCAAACATTTATTCAGAGGTCACTGTGTGCCAACTTTTATGCTAACCATAGGGAGATACAAAAAATTAGACCATCCCCTGTAGTTTAGGAATGCAAAGTTGGGGAGTGGGAGTAAGGATATATATAGACAGTTATAAAAATAGTATATAAATGTTTTTTAGAGGTAAGTATAAGTTATTTTTAGTGGAAAGAATAGGGAATTTTAACTGTACCTCAGGGCAGAGGCCAGAATGAATGGAAAGAAAAACATTCAGAGTAGAACTGATTCTCAAAGAATTAATAAGGGATCCATAGGAATTTACCAGTTGGATAAAGTGGGAGTAGGTAATGTACAAAGTTAAGGTCTGCCTGTGGAACTGTAGAACTGTAAGCAGTTCAGGAAGGTTACACAACATGTAAGGGACTATGAAGACATGAGGCTGGCAAGGTAATGTTCCTCCTTGTAATCTATAATATACTATATGCAGACAATATGACATACATACATATATACATGATTTTAAAGACATTATGGTATCTCTTCCTATTCAAACAAGGATTTAGATTATTCCAAACCACTAGAGGCATTATTTACAACTTGAACTAAGATGGATCGATAACAGATTCCCAAGTAAAAGCTGATGCAGTTATCTTTTGAGTCATCAGCAAAAGTTTAAAGGCTTGAGGGATATTCAGATAACTTCCAGTAGGCTTATTATTCTGACACCTTATTAGGTTGGAAAGATTATAATTGTCTTTGTGTGTGCCACATGTCCCCCTTATTTGGATAAATAATTTAGTCAAACCCTGTCTCTACAAAAAAATTGAAAAATTAGCCAGGCATGGTAGTGCCCACCTGTAGTCCCAGCTACTTGGGAGACGGAGGCAAGAGGATCACTTGAGCCCAGGAATTTGAGGTTATATTAAGCTGTGATGGCACCACTGCACTCTAGCCTAAGCAATAGGGTGAGTCCCTGTCTCTAAATAAATAAATAGTATAAAGTTTTCATAAGGAGTTAAAAAAAAGTAGTTAGTTCTTAACATGGAAAATTAATAAATCTATTAAAACACATATAATTTAACCTTTCTACTAAAGAATTTGAGATTGGTACCTAAAATAATAAATGGGGGTCTAGATTTGTAAGAAATCTTAATGATCATAAGTTTATGAAGCATTTTGTATAATGATAAGGGCTTGTCAAACTTGAAAATGGAAGCTAAAATCCTATCTATTCCAGATTATTCTCAAGTTAAAAAAAAGAAAGGTATATATTTATATACAGTGCTATCAATTGAGGAGAATTGCACATTGGAATATTGTTTGTTCATCTTTTGTTTCACATTGTATTTTAAAGACATAGACCAGTTAGGGTAATCATTTAAAAGAATATTTAGTAGTAATACTTTTCTTTTTACAGGTTGAAGAAGAAGGCTTGCAAATTTGTGTTGAAATATGTGGTTGTGCTCTACAATTAGACCTTCATGATGACCCCCAAACTAAATGTCTGATTTATAAAACAATTGCACATTTTTTGCCAAATGATTTGGAAATCCTCAGGATTTGTGCACTCTCAATATTTTTTCTTGAGCGTTCCTTAGAAGCTTATCATACTGTTGAAGAGCTTTATAAACGTCCAGATGAAGAATATAATGAAGGCACAAGTAGTGTTCAAAATCGTGTTCGTTTTGAGTTACTTCCAATTTTGAAAAAGGGACTGTTTTTTGATCCTGAATTTTGGAACTTTGTAATGATTAAGAAAAACTGTGTAGCATTACTGAGCGATAAATCAGCAGTTAGATTTCTAAATGAAAGTACACTGGAAAATTCTACAGATAATCTAAAAAAGACAATGGAACAGCAAGGTTTAGATGAAGGGCTTGACTGTCTTACAGATCAGAGCACTGGAGAGACTGATCTTGATGATGTGTCTGGAGTGCAACCTAAAAGTCATATTAATACAAAGAAAAACCTTACAGCTTTTAATACTTCCAAAGTAGATCACAATGTCCCAAGACATCGGTGTATGTTATGTAACAAGGAATTTCTAGGTGGTCACATTGTAAGGCATGCCCAGGCTCATCAGAAAAAAGGCAGTTTTTCATGTGTAATATGTGGTAGAAAATTTAGAAATAGAGGACTTATGCAAAAACATTTAAAGAATCATGTTAAGAAAATACAGAGACAGCAAATTGCTGCAGCTCAACAGGATGATCAGGAAATCACTATTTTGGAAGAAATAGACTGTTCCAATTCTTCCATTTCATTTGAAAATGGAAATTCTGATAATCAGGATTTGGAAGTAGGGACTTTTACTGCTTCTAGTGATGGAAACAAAGAAGTCATTCCTGAGCACGTGGCTGAATTCATTGAAATTCCTGTAAGTGTACCCGAAGATGTTATTGAAAACATTATTGAAAATGGCAGTCCTGATACTTCTTTAAATAATGTCTTGAAGCCTTTACCAGAATGTGAGGATGATTATGAGGAGGAAGAAGATGAAGAAGGTGATTATGAAGATGATGATTATGACCTGAATCAAGAAACTTCAGTACTTCATAAAATCAATGGAACTGTGTGCCATCCAAAAGATATATATGCCACAGATCAGGAAGGAAACTTTAAGTGCCCTGCTCTTGGCTGTGTAAGGATATTTAAAAGAATTGGATTTCTAAATAAACATGCAATGACTGTACATCCAACTGATTTAAATGTGCGACAAACAGTAATGAAGTGGAGCAAAGGAAAATGCAAATTTTGTCAAAGGCAATTTGAAGATTCTCAGCATTTTATAGATCACCTTAATAGACACAGCTATCCAAATGTGTACTTTTGTTTGCATTTTAATTGCAATGAGTCATTTAAGCTGCCATTCCAGCTTGCCCAGCATACAAAAAGTCACAGGATATTTCAAGCTCAGTGTAGTTTTCCAGAATGCCATGAGCTTTTTGAAGATCTTCCTTTGCTATATGAACATGAAGCTCAGCACTATTTAAGTAAAACACCAGAATCATCTGCACAACCAAGTGAAACAATTCTTTGGGATGTTCATTCAGACTCAAATCCTAATCATCAGGAAAAAGACTCATCTAGTAATGAGAAACAAACTGTTAATCTGCCAGTTTCTATTTGCAAATCAAGGAAAGATTCTACAGAACCAAAGACATGTATAGAAAGTATGGAAAAGAAAACAGATAGTTTAGTTCAGAATGGGAATGAACATTCTGATGACACTGTTTCAAATATAAGCTTGATAGACCAAAAGATGCCTGACATAGAGCCAAATTCTGAAAATAATTATAGTAGTAGTGATTTAGTCAATGGACACAGTGAAATGGAGCAAACGCCTTTAGTTTCATCAGATCCCGCTTTGAAAAGTGATATAAGTAGAATCAGGACAGAAAATGGTTCCGTTTTACCCAATGCTGTACCACAAGAACACAATACCTTGCCAGTATCTCAGGCACCTTCCAAACCAAATCTGACAAGTGAACCTACTTCATATGGCTTGATTTTAACAAAACCATATGTCAGACCATTGCCTCCCAGTTACCTTGATGAACGGTATCTTAGTATGCCAAAACGCAGAAAATTTCTGACTGATATAGTAGATGCCTGTTCTGATCAAGATAACATTTATAAAAAACCAGTGAAAAGATTAAGATGTGGCAAATGCCTGACCACCTACTGTAATGCAGAAGCACTTGAGGCTCACCTTGCACAAAAGAAATGTCAGACACTCTTTGGATTTGAGTCAGATGATGAAAGTAAGTCTTCTATCTTCTCAGTAGATATATCTGTAGAAATAGAAAATGCCATAAAAAATATAACTATCATAGATCTTTATGGGGTTAAAAAATTGATATTTGTACAGCACAGATAGTAAAGCACTACCCCATAATCCATACAACCATTATGAGGTGATATTACTATTCCTGTTTTATAGATCAAGTGAAATTCACAAATTAATTTGCATAGGAATAGGCCTATGAACTTGTGCAAGCCAGAACTTGAACACAGGTTTTCTATATCTTGATTATATTCTTTTACTGTTTCAAAGGCTTTTCTTCTTCTAAATTTAATGTAATAAAAGTTCTTAAAGTAACTTTGATGGAATTATTTCATATGCATTCCAGAATATAAATCAAATGAAGCTAAGTCTCTGTTACAAAAATAGTAGTAAAAGAGAACCAGAAAATATTGAAAAACAAAATGAGCAAAAGAAGAGCTTGCCTTGCTTCTAATATCAATATCCTTTGAATGGCTGAGGGCATAAATTAAACAGGAATCTGACTTAGAATTCCACTTGAACATCTATAAAATTTGAATTAACAGATGTGTTCTGTTTTACAGGTGCCTGATAAAAATGTTTCAGAAAGATCTGTCGATCAAGCAGTAGTGTGAAAAAAGCACTATAAGAAAACGCATCATCAGTTTGCTATTTCTCTGATGGCCTTAATTTTAGAGTGGTCTCGAATTACTAAAGACAAAGCACATTTTCTAGAATGAACTCACAGAGGAGATGTGCTGGCTTAGACTCCAAAAGGGTTATTATAAAACTCCCAAAGTACCAGTTTTCCAGAAAACCACATTTTTAAAAAGCTTATGATGATTAATAGCAGCATGTTCAGTTTCGCTTATGTGAGAAATATGTTCAGGCAACTAGTCAGAAAGAAAACCAGCTATGGCCTTACACAAAGGGAAAAGTGAACACATTAATAAAAACGGGGAGTGGTTTACAATAATAAACAACTTAAAGTATTTTATTCTGTAAGTGGGCTTTGTTTTCTTGTAATGCATAATCAGATTATGTCCTCCCTTCTGGTCAAACATGGTTTAAGGAACCATTGCTCTTTGGTTTGTGATCTGATTTAGAAACTGACTCATGAAAATAAAACTTATCACCATGCTATCTATTAAAAATTGTAACTTGTTTCCAGATAATTAACTATGTCAAAGTTCAGTGAATGAGTGGCATGCCAGCATTGAAAGTGAAAAAAAAAATGAAGAAACAGTTCTTTGCTAATAAGCTCTTGATAGAACCTTCTACCCACAACTTTTATATTATAGATCAGTTATATTTAAAAGGCAACAGTGCCAATTAAACAGAAAAAGAACGATCAGTAACTGGGGAGAGATGGTAGGAATCTAAGACATTACATGCTATGTAGTTAAACAAAAACACTGAATTGGAAATTCTTCAGTGTGAATAATGGTAAAAGCACACTGGGATATTTCTGTTTGTATATAAAGTTAGGACATTGCTTGATAATTCATAGTAAGGTCCTTTAGACGTTAATGTGAGTTATCAAAGTACAGTCCCATAAATATAACTGGCTTAAAAAAATTGTCAGCTAAGAATCAGGCTAAGAATTCATTCATTTTATTCAATTAAGAGAGGTAATTCCAAAATAAGCCATACTACTGTTTTTTTATTCATGAATGATAAATTTGGTCTGAATAGTAATTTTTACGTATAAAAGGAAATTTTTACACAAAAATTTGCACAGCAAGAACACAATGAGTTACATTGATGCATTATTTTCCTTAGTCACTAGTAAGAAAGATTTTAAAAACGGACCTATTAATAAACCCATGTCAACCAAATATTCCAGTTATTCCAAATGAGAAGTTTGTGATCAAAGCAGATAATTTCATCAGATCCTATTACCAATATGACAGTTTTAGAGCTTCCTGAATGAGGTTACTAGAAGTGGGATATTTCTTCCAGGGCAGCACCCAGAATTTATTAAACTAACAGAGCAAATGATCTAAAAAATACTTCCCAATTTTATTACTTATTTTCAGCATTCACTACTATGCAATGATGGTCATAAGCCGATTCCAAATTTAAGTTTGTTTTTGTTCTGTTATGTAGCCTACATTAGGCTGTAGAACTTATATTTAGATAACAGATAACTGAACAACTCATAATCAAGTTTTTAAATCCTTTAAGGTCAACTAAAAAAATGTTTTCCATTTTTACTGATACTAAAAATGTAATGATTAAGTTTATTTCACTGCATTCTAAAAGTGTGTCTTATAATAAAAAGTCTGTTTGGAAACTGATTTATTTGGACAATGAAGTTTTTTGGAAATATAATTTCTGCTTTGTACATTTTCCAGAAGTTTAACAACTTAACATTTTATATTTTTAATTTTTTTTACAAGTTGCAACCATTGACATAAATCCATGCCCACACATTGTTACATTTTCATTAGTTTGAAAAGTTCATGTGAAGATGTTTTGTAAATATATTCCACTTATATTTTTTGTCTTCAATTTGAGGTTTATTTCTACTTTTGTGTTGCTAAGACTGAGATCAAATTGGTTTAGATAAAACTAAATCAAGGAATGTTTTATAAAATTCTGTTTGGCCACACTGTTCTAACCTCTTTATTTGTATACTTCTCAAATAATGGCTGTTGAAAGAATGTGTACAGTTTATTATGTCTGTCTTCTACATCATTTTGCTTTTATAGGGTGCATAAACTTCTGACAGTTCTAATTTGGGATTCAGAAGTAAAGGAAGCTTTCTTCTTATTTCTCTGATTTTTCTCCTTTTCTTTTCTTTGCTTCTCTTCTACTCTTGTTTTGAGGATGTGTTTATCTTACGTGGACCAAGTTTCAAATCTTTGTTTTTAAATGAAAATTTTCCTTCAAAAAATTAAATATTAATTTCCTGCTATATATCAGTAAGGTCAAGAAAATAGCAAATCTGAATTTTTGCTGCTCAGCTATTATGGAGAAAGTAGAAAAGGTGAATTTCCGTGGACAAGGACACTGGTACTTTGGGCTTTAGCCATATTCATTTTTTTAAAACCACCTATTATATAATGCATAGATAATTTATATCATTGAACTTGTGATTCTTTTAAAATCACACTGAAGGTTCAGCCGTACTCCTTTCATGTTTGGTTTAATACTGTTGTATGGATGAAAAACCTAAAAGGGATGATAGTGTTTATTTTTTAATTTATTTGGTACTGTAAAACACCTTTTCAGAATGAATAAATGCTGCATATGCATTTTGGAATTGTTAATATGTGAAAGATATTACAGATTCAGCAAGAAAGAAAATTTGTGCTTCCTTGTTGAACATTAAATTATTTTACTTTGCATTTTATAAGAGTACAAATTAAAACTGAGCCATTGAACTGCAATAAATCAACAATAGTGTCTCATTTCAAGAAATTTTTTGTACTGTACATAGATTTGTTCAATAAAACATTGTCCTTGTTGGTAATCAAGTGTTCCATTTGTATATAGTTTAGCACATGGCTTTCAAAAGGAATTAAGACTTAAGGTATATATTAAATATATGTCTCATTAGAGAGGAATGGGATATTTCCATTAACATCAGATTATTGAGTGATTTGCTTTTTAAACATAGAACATCTAAAATTTTACACAAAATAGACATTTTTGGACCTTTAGACATTTTAACCATGCAGGAATAAAAGTCTATAGGTTTCTGGTTACTAAAGTCTTTTATTTCAAGTAAGTGTTTTCAGTGTGATATAGTACTTTCTGCAAACATAGGAGGTATAAAAGAAATAAATACCAGACTCTCCAAAAGCAAGAATGTAGATGGTACACCTACCAGACTCTCCAAAAGCAAGAAAGTAGATGGTACATCTACATTGGTACATCTACATTGGTAATTCTTCGAAGATAAAGAGCTTCTGGTGGAACTTAAAAAATTAAGACTCTGAAGTCACTTTGAAATATCAGGTCATGAATGAAGATGAAAATTGCTTTCGCAAAAGTATTTCAACAGGGAAATGTTTAGGTCAATTAATAATCTTTAACCAAAAGTGATATCGATGGGTATGAGGACTCCTACTTTTTTGGTTCACTAACAAAGTAAGAAAAAAAAAAAACCTACACTATCTGCTATAACTTGGAACTGGAAAAAGTGGGGTTGTAAGTAGAAAAAGTACCTTTTTGAGGCAATGAAGATAGCATTGGAAATGAAAGAATAGATAGTAATGGGTTAAAGTGATTTGTGCTATTACCAATGTATTCTTTGAAACACTATAAGAAAGTTATTAAAACTTTCTAGAGCTGAGATCTAAAATTCATCTGATCCTAGAATGAATATGCTCCATGTTGAGAACAAAGAAATGTATTGAAGTATTTAGACAAAGTTACTGGGATTTAGATAACTTCATTTTCCTTTTCTGAAACTTGAATTCCAGGAAGCAAATAATTCTAAGTAAGCTCCCAAAATAACCAAATTAAGTTGCTTTTGATAGCATAAGATTCATACTTATTTCAAGAATCAACTTACTTGAATTAGAGACAATAAAATATTACATGGAATAAAAATTCAAAGGGAAGGTAAGTTCATGCTTTGTTGATGGGTGCTGTACACCAGGGAAGAAATGGCTTCTGTGTTAATAAATTACTGTGTAACAGCTACTTTATATATGTTACCTGTAATTCTTAAAACAATTCAAGGCTAAATATGAACATTTCTCTTTAGATACCAAGGCTCAGAATGGTTAACTTGATTAAAATCACACGGCTAATAAATGGAGAGGTGCAACTTAAAAATCAGATGTGTTGTAAAACCATGTTTCCATCCTGCCACTCTGTTTTCCCTATAAATATAGAGCATGAGTGGATCTAATATGTCCAAATAGAGTCAGACTTGTCTCAGGATCACTGATTTCAGAGACAAAGAATGAAGTCTGGTACGAACCTACCTGGTTGATGTTTCATAATGTTTTTGATTCTTAAAGTGTGGTTTCTAGAGCAGCAGAATCACCATCACTGGGGAACTTGCTAGAAATGCTAAATTGTGGTCAGGAGGGGGGCCAATCTATTGGTTAACAAATCCTCCAGGTGATTCTTATACAAGCTAAGGTTTGAAAACTACAGATCTAAAGCAACCAGGTTCTTCATATTTCCCTAGAAGGTAAACTGTTTCTCCTTAAATTCATAGAGCCTTCTTAAAACTGTTTCCAGGACATTTAAAGAAGTCCCCTATTAATAAGTGCTTAAGTAACTACTGTTGGGTGAATGGGTATTTTAGTAGTAAGATCTAATACTCCAAACTGCTCTAAATCTAGGGATTTTTTATTCTTTTTTTGGTTCAAAAAGTATTCAGCTTAAGTGAAACTCTACTATAAAATGATTTAATGGAAATGGTGCAAAAAGGTTAGGAGATCAGTTGTACCTGAATTACAGCATGGTCGTTTTATAGTTGTGGAGAACTAAATTATTAGGTACTGTATATCCCACATCCCACTGAGCTCAGACTTCATGTTAAAAGGGGACAGCTGCAAGGTTATAAGAATTGTCTGTGAAGGGCCTAGTGCCGAGCCCTTCCTGTTATAATTTTGCTAAATTTTTCTTCATGTTATGGCTCCCATCTTATCTTTGGCTCTAGCCATATTTAAAATGCCACCTACCCTCATCATGCTGTTTTATTCCATGCATTTTTAAATACTGCTCTCTTTACTCATAATTCTTCACCCATTTTCCACACCATCTCTTATTCTTTTATGTAATCCTTCTTAGGCATCACTACTTTTCTAGAAAGTCTGATCTCTTCATTACACCTATTTCCCCATTGAAACTTACTTCTCCCAACATTCTTCCTCTTAGTATTAATAAATTACAACTCTAATTGTACAAACCAAAATTTTACAATCATCCCTGACTCTTAACTCCTCCACCTTAACTCAAGCCACCATCTTCTCTAATCTGGAGTGTTGTATTAAATAGTAGTTTCTTCATTGAGCTTCAAGCCTACCCCCTAACCCTCCTTCAATCTGAACTTCACAGCAGCAGCTCAAGTGATCCTATTTAAAACTTGCCCAGGCCTTCACAGCTTATTCATTTATTGAACAAATACTCATTGCATACCTACTATGTGCCAGGCTCTGTAGCAGGCAAAGAAAACAACAAAAATTCTTGTCTCATAGAGCTTACATTCTTCTGGGGGGAAACAAACATACAGTATGTTATAAATGCTATGGAGAAAAAGTGGGTAGGAAATATATAAGCAATCGTGGTGTTGGTGGTTTTAGAACAGGATAATGAGAGAAGGCTTCTCTGACAGGGTGACTTTTGAGCAGGGACTTGAATAAAGGGAAAGAGCCATTCAGATACAAAGGGAAGAATATACCAGGCATGGTAACAAGAACAACAGCTTTGAGGCATGGACCTGTATGGCACATTGAAGGAAGGCAAGGAAATGAAGTCAGAAGTAAAAGATAAAATCCAAAGTCTATGTGATGGCCTACAACAGCAGCCCCCAACCTTTTTGGCACTAGGGACTGGTAGCATGGAAGACAATTTTTCCATGCACTGAGGCAGGAATTATTTTGGGATGATTCAAGGGCATTACATTTTTTGTGCAGTCAAACCTCTCTGCTAATGTTAATATGTATTTGCACCCACTCCCGAGTGCTAGCATCACTACCTCAGCTCCACCTCATATCATCAGGCATTAGATTCTCATAAGGAGCGAGCAACCTTGATCCCTCCCATGTGCAGTCTACAGTCTACAGTAGGGTTCTTTTTTTTTGGAGACAGAGTCCCACTCTGTTACCCCAGGTTGACTGCCATGGTATTAGCCTAGCTCACAGCAACCTCAAACTCCTGGGCTCAAGCAATCTTCCTGCCTCAGCCCCCCATGTAACTAGGACTGTAAGTGTGTACCACCATGCCTGGTTAATTTTTTTTTTTTTTGTATTTTTAGCTGACTGGCTAGTTTCTTCTATTTTTAGTAGAGACAGGGTCTTGCTCTTGCTGAGACTGGTCTTGAACTTCTAACCTCAAGCAATCCTCCCACCTTGGCTTCTCAGAGTGCTAGGATTACAGGCCTGAGCCACCACGCCCACCCTAGGGTAGCCACTTGTGGCTGATGGTTACAGTATTGGACAGCATAGATAAAGAACATTTTCATCATCTCAGAAAGTACTTTGACAGGTTGTTCTATATTAATGGTACTCTATACTCAACTGGGGGTGATTTTGTCCTCCATGAGATATTTGGCAATGCCTGGTGGTATTTTTGTTTCCCACAACTGAGGGGAGCATGTGCTACTGGCTCCCAATGGATAGAGGCCAGGGATACTGTTAAGTAGCCTACAATGCACAGGACAACCCTCACAACAAAAAAATCGTCCTGCCCAAAATGTCAATAGTGCCATGAATGAGAAATGCAGATTTGAATCCGTCTTGACTGCAACTCTAACCACATTGCTCAAAGACTCCTCAAGCTGCTCTAGTATCCTGACCTCCTTCCTCAAAACCTCTACTGTTGCTTCTTCCTAGAACATGCTTCTCCTGTGGCTTGCTCACTTTCTTCTGAGCTTTTCTTCAGTAACTTATTTAGAGAAGCCTTTCCTTTCAACCTGTATAGAACAGTGACATCCTCTCCATCCCTCTCTTCTTGATTTATTCTTCTTCATAGCAGTTCCTGGCTGAGTAAATGATAATAGTTTTTTATGTTTATTGTCCGTTTGCTCCCACTAGAATGCAAGCCCCGAAGGACTTGTATTTGTCCCCAAAACAAAGAACAGTAACTGGCAAGTAGTTTAGGTGCTCAGTAAATACATTTTTAAAAAATGAAGTAATGAATGAATGAAAGACAAGGTTGGGCACACCTTCCATGTAGTCCCACACCAGCACATATGAGCACTCATCTTGTCACCTCTACTTGCAACATTTCCAAAAGCTCCTTGAAGGAAAGTTGAGCACTCATTCATACTTAATAAAAAATGAAGACTTGGTATTTGTTGAGCAAATGATACCCCAAATAACATCCACTGGCAAATTAATTTAACCATATTTTTGAATGCCTTGTTTAAAAGACTATATTTACAGTATATTTTATGACGGATATTTATGAGATTTAAAAAATGTTAAATTTGCTCGCGGGGATCTGCAGATGTGTACATTTCAGCTAATAAATGGCAATATCTTAAATACTAACTAATCCAAAATATTAATTAAAAATAGGAGATAGGAGCAATGACAACGTGTTTAAGTCTGATTCTCAGTCCAGGAGGGCATGACCATTTTTTCTATTATAAAGTGAGTTGTTCTCCTACGAATAGTAATAATAGCAGCTAATACATATTGAGCTCTTACTAGGTGCAGGCACTGTCTTCACCCCGCCCCTACAACCCTCTGAGGTAGGTATTTTTACTTGATCCATTTCCAGATAGACCTAAGGGACAAAAATGCTAAGGAGCTTGCTCACAGTCACAGTTAGTAAATTGTGGAGTAAAACCCTGGCACTTTGGCTTCCAGAACCCTCAACCTTAAACTGCACGCAATACTGCCTCTCCTAAGGCCCAATTGGCGACAAGGGGAATGGAGACAACACGGGATCCCAGCGTGTGTGAGAAGAAAGCCGCTGGAAGACGGGTAGGCGTGGGACAGGATAGGTGGTTATCTTTGTTTGATTTTTAATTTTTTATAGTACAATGTCAAACAAAACAGTTATTTTAATTTACGTAATTTTAGAATATCAAACTACCGCTCACCCAACTCAGACGTGGCCACAGGAAATTCAAGCGCTCCCGGGGCCGGGCCGGCGGGCGGGAGGAGCCGTCTCCATTGGTCGCCCCGCGGCATCACGGGAGCAGGCATTGCGCCCGGGCCGCCTTCCACTTTTCACGCACTTGCGCAACCCTCTAGGGAGATCTTTTCCAGGAGGAACTTAAGAGCAGTTCAGGGGTTCTCTTACTGTAACCGGCTGCCCTGTGGAATGTCTGTGTTCTCCAAGTAACACACCCGCATCTTACTAGAGGGGACATCCCGGAACCATAAGTTGGAGCACCGCGTTTCCTGATCGACCTCCTGGGCGGATCACTTCCGCCCAGGGATTGGAATATTCGAGGCCCTTCTACAGCGAACAAGAAGGGCACTTCCGCTGTCTGTTGCCAAGGCGCTGGCCCGGTGGCGCGGAGGGGCGGCATTATTGCGCGTCCGTCTCCCCCCCCCTGCCCGGGTCGAAATGTCGGACTCAGCTCCCGGAGATGGAGGGCTGTCGTGACCTGCTCGGCCTGCTGGACACGACGAGATATCCGGCTGTGCGACACCGTCACCAACGCGCTGGTGCACCCTGAGGACGCCAAGGTAAGGGAAACGCTTCAATCGAGGACAGCCGACCGACCCAGGTGGCGGAGCGTGGGAATGGAGAGGGTTCGAGCCTAGCTCCAGGTTCGTCCCCGACCGCGCTTGAGCAGAATCCTCGTACTAGGGAATCCCGCGCGCCCGCCGTTACATATTCTCGGAACCAGAACGCAGACTTGGGCGGCCGCGCCTGAGAGGGGTGGGTGGCGCTAACAATGGTATAGTTTCAGGTTTATCCATTGAATGTTAAGTAACGCTTGCTGTTTGAGGATTCGCTTGTTGTTGAGGATTCGGAGTGTGTCAGTAGTCATTTTGTTGTTGTTTTAAGTTTCCAGGAAGCCAGTGTTTTCCATTTCCCCGTTTGTCAACTGAGGAGTATCAGCTGCTGCTGTGTTTTTTTCTTCAAGTTTGAGGGGAGGAGGATATCATAAACACTTTATATCAGTCTCTTTTAAAAACAACTACTGTAATAAAAAAGCAGATAGTTTGGGTCAATGTCCTTTTGGAGCCAAAATTTTTCTGAGATAATTTTGTGTGCTAGAAATTAATTTAAAAATTATTATTAAAGTAATTTTAATAGTCAAACATTCTGTTAGATTTCAAGAGCTATTAATATTAAGCCGGATTGTGACTAGTACATATAAAAATGTAAAGCGTTTGTTTATTTTTGTGTATTACGTAGCTCGTTTTATTTTAAATTTGCCGAATTTTACTTTAAAATGTGAACATTTGATTCCCATATTAGCATATGATTTAAGTATCTTCAAAAGATTCTGTGTTTTAAAACTGTATTTCTGCTTTTAACTCCGATTTGCATTTTTGCCATTGAGGAAAATCAGTCATTTGTAACTTTGAATCGGGAACATTAAAATAAAATTCCTAAGAACTTAGACTGAAAATAATTTTATACTTGTGTAGTTGTTAAGCATTTATGTATTTTACATGGCAGTCACCTTCTTAGAATTATGGTGAGGGTGAATCTAAAATTATTATAGATAAAATGCTGGATTTAATTGACGGTGGATCTAAAAGAAAATGAGAGTAAAAAAATAAAAATTTTCCAGTGCATACACGTTTAAATGATTTGGAGATCATTGCTCAGGAAAAAGATAACTGATAGGCATATGAAAAGTATTCAACCTCTTTAAAAAGCAATGAAATGAAAACCAAAAATGAGAGTTGTCTTTTCTATGTACCAGACTGGAAAAAATTAAAAATACAAACTTCAGGTGCTGGTGACCAGGTGAAACAACTCTTTGACAACTAATGAAGGAATGAATGTAAGGTAGAACTACCACTCTGGAAAACAAGTTTGACATTATTTCCTAAAATGGAAGATTAGACACATGCTCTAGATCAGGACTTCTCAAACCTGAATGTGCTTTTGAATCTCTAGGAGATCTTGTTGTTACAATGCAGATTAGTTTTGGGGTAGATCCAGAAATTCTGTATTTCTAACAAGCTCCCAGGTGAGGCTCATGTTGCTTGCTCCTTTGTGAACTCGGAAGGTATGTATGAGAATATTCAAAGTAACAGTTTTTCTAATACACAATAAAAGTATAAACAAGAATAGATACCTGTGTATAGTCATATAATTAATTATGATACAGTAATGAAAATAAATTAACTAGAGCTACATATATCCACAAAGATTAGTCTCAAAAACAATAAATGAAAGGCTGATTACAGAAGACTATATACTGTATATTGATAGATTAGATAAGAACATTTAAAATACACCAAACTAAATATATTGTTTAGGGACACAAACTGTATATATGGTATACTTTATATATACTATAGTTTATATACTATATATAAAGAAAAGCAAGGGAATCCTAAAGCAACATTTAGGATATTAGCTACCTTGTGAAGTGGATGAAAGGCTAGAGAAGGAATAGTATTAGAGAGGGGTGAAATAAGGATCTCAAGAGTATTTACTGGAAATTTCCTCTGTCTCAAGCTAGGAGGTCGCTATATGGAAGTTCATGTTATTGCCATTTTGTATACGTTATACAAGTCAAAAATATTCTTTGGTTTGTGTTTAATATAAATTTTTTAAAAATTAAAAAAAATACAAGTCCTTGTTCTGCCACTTTCTAGAAATAAAATTATTGATACCTCATGTGTCCTAGATTTTATCTGTAGAGTGAGATTGGGTTAAAATTCCTTGACATCCAAAATACTGTAATTTTACTTATTTTTTGGAGTCACATGAATGTAGGTCTGTTGGCCTTATTAGGAAAAATTATTTTTCTGGCATGAATTTTTTCTTAATTCTTTAAGAGAAAATGCTAGAATTTCACTGTTGCCATGGGAAGTGAAAGGAAGGGAGAATTTTAGGTAAAGGAAGTTTATAGCATAAAGAAATTATTTTAAAAGATAACCTGATAACAACTCATTTCCTCTTAAAAAATGACAGCCATCTCATGTAAAAAGCACTAATGTTGTGACAAGAGTTTATAAATGTTATTTGGTAGAGTTTCTCCTAACCTTGGACAAATTTATAGGTGGCTCATGATTATCTATTAATCTTCACAATTTCCTTCTAGATGCCATTCATGCAATATTAGTGTACAGTCAAAGTGTAGAAGAACTTCTGAGGCGTAAAAAAGTCCACCGGGAAGTCATATTTAAGTACTTGGCAACACAGGGGGTTGTTACACCTCCAACTACTGAAAAACACAATCTTATTCAGCATGCAAAAGATTACTGGCAAAAGCAGTCACAACTGAAATTGAAAGAAACACCAGAGCCAGTAACAAAGACAGAGGACATCCGGCTCTTTCAACAGGTAAAGTAGATCTTATGGTTGTATTTTGAACTTTTTTTTTTAAAGAGAGGGGGCCTCTGTCACCCTGGCTGCAGTGCAGTGGTGTGATCCTAGGTCACTGTAGGCTATAACTCCTGGACTCAACCCATCCTCCTGCCTCAGCCTCCTGAGTAGCTGGGTTAACAGGTGTGCACTACTACTATACTCTGAGCCTTTGTCTGGTCTGAAACTCTGTAAATAATCCTAGATCTGGGGGAACATGGTTAATAATCTATTTGTATTTTACGATTTTAACTTCATATCCTTTGCATCCTAAAGGAAGACCAATGAAGCAACTAAAAATAAAGTATTTCTGACAGTTAGTGATGCTTATATAATCTATTGATTTGTAAGGGAAAAATATTTGTCAATGTCAATAATACTGATATTAACGATTTTTAATATCAAATGAATACCATTGGATTTTTAGAGTATAAATTTCAAGGTTAATTTTAATTTGAACTCTAGTTCATTGTAATTATTTCCACTTTAAAAAACTTCTGTTGTAAATCCTTTCTAATTTTTAAGACTTTTTTGGTATTAAATTGCAAAAACTCCATAAAAAGAACTTAAGTATTTTTCCCATTTGATTTTTTTTTAAATAGAAAAAATCTTGTTGTAGTAATTTCTCCAGCTGACATTTGCTATTTCTGTTTCTTTGTATATCCACTGTACATTTTAGATATCAAGTGAATATTTAAATGTTTGAATCTCTAGGTAATTTGAAGATTTTTAAACTACATACTACACTCTTTGAATTCATGAGCTTTTATAGTGAGAAAGCTTTGCTTTCACATTAGGAAAGGATCTTCTAAGGGCTTTGTTAACATACTGAAAAGAGCATTGACCTTGATATTATACAGATGCAACTTCAAATTAGGGTCTGCCAGATGTGTAAACTTAGGCAGGTATCTTGACCTTTCTGAGCCTGGTTTTCTTTAACTATAAAATAGTCTTAACAGTAATATCCATGTCATAGGATTTGTTGTGCAGGTAAGAGGAAATAGCCCTTAAGTGCCACACATGGTGCCCAATGTATTAACTAGCAGGTGCTCAGTAAACTTATGGTCTCTTACCATCTCAGTGAGGTATGTGTTCTGGAATACTTAGATGAAGAGATCTAGCCTATCAGGTGTATTTTTGCAGTAACATTTTATTTGAAAAAAAGAAATAAAATTAATCCGAATCATAGAAAATAACCTATTTCAGTCACCCTAGAAGTATCTGTTTAAAGGCAATGGAAATGCCTATTATCAACTTTATTGTGATATGATTTATATGCAGAGTGCATCCATTTAAAACATAAATTTTAAGTTTTGACAGATATATACACCTGTAAAAACAGTGCCACAATCAAGAGAAAGTGCTTATATAACTCATTATTGACTGTTCGTGCTGATATTTTAAGAGACTTTGTTAAGCCTTAGTTTCTTAGCTGAATTTTCATCTAAGCTGGAAAACTCTAAAATGACATTCTCCTTTTTGAAAAAAGATTTAACTATGAATCATAGGTTCAGTGAGTTCACATGTGGTTCAGTTCCCTGTGCTGTAACCAGCAGTATATGCAAACTTAGCTCTGAAACAGGCTAGATAGAAAGGGATTTGAGAGGCAAACCTTAGTTTTATATTTATTGTACTTATTTTAATCATCAGGCAAAAGAAGATAAAAAAGCTGAAAAAGTTGATTTTCGTCGCCTAGGAGAAGAATTCTGTCACTGGTTCTTTGGACTTCTTAATTCTCAGAATCCTTTTCAGGGACCACCTCAAGATGAATGGGGGCCACAGCATTTCTGGCATGACGTCAAACTTAGGTTTTATTACAACACATCAGAACAAAATGTGATAGATTACCATGGAGCAGAAATCGTGAGCCTTCGTTTGCTATCATTAGTAAAAGAAGAATTTCTTTTTCTGAGCCCCAACTTAGATTCCCGTGGACTGAAATGTGCTTCTTCTCCCCATGGGCTGGTTATGGTTGGAGTTGCTGGGACTGTCCACCGACGGGACACTTGTTTGGGTATTTTTGAACAAATTTTTGGACTCATCCGTTGCCCTTTTGTGGAGAATACTTGGAAAATCAAATTTATCAACCTGAGAATTATTGGAGAGAATTCGCTTGCTCCTGGAACATTACTGAAACCAGCTATTACATTTGAACAAAGTGATTTAGAGGCCTTTTACAATGTAATCACTTTATGTGGTACCAACGATGTGCAACTTAATGTAAAGCAGGCATTGGATAGTGGAACTGGAGACCAAGCTTTATGTGGTGGAAATGAGGCATTGCTGAACAAAAGAGAAGTGAGTTTGCCTAAGTCTCTAAAACATTGAGAACTATATGTCAACCTAAAAAAAACATCAATAATGTCTAAGACTTAGACATCACTTAGACTTTAAATGATTTCAGATATGAGGATTTACATATTTTAGTTGAAATACTTTTCTGGACTACAGACTATTATGTGAAAATTTACCTTTCTCTACCTGGGTTGCAGCAAATGTTCTGAGAGCGTAATGCAGTCCATCAAATAAATCCCACTTTAGATGTTACAGGTAACCATGTGCCTTAGAAACCAGGTAATATGTTTATTTTACTTAGTGAATATTCTGCTAATATCTGTACTGTACACATGAAAAAGGACTAATAGTGTTCAAGGCTTCCCCTCTAAGTTTTTTATTTACTTTTATCAAATATGGATAATTGGATATTTTACAAATGCATCTCACTACAGCATTATTTTTAAAACAATTAAATTTTTAGAGATGTTTAATGTAAACTCAAAGTTGTCAATTTAGAAAATTTTAATGACATTCTTATGTGAAAAGTCCAATAATTTAGCAGATAAAAATTTACTGCCTCTTTAAATATTTGAGGAACATTTTTCAAAGCTATCTGCTGCAGTCCAAGATAAGTATCTTTTATAATCTGCAACATTTTCCAAACTGTTTTTGGCAATGATAAATTCTGTTCTCAAAACAGACCTTATTCTTACCTAGGCTTCAGCTAATAGACTTAAAAAACATTTATTGTAATACTATATGAAGGAAATATACTGTTGAAATTTTAAAGGCATGCCCAGTTCCTAACTTTTAAATGAATTACTGTTCTTCCTCTTGATTGACCTTGACAAAAGTGTCCAAAACAATATCCACAAATTTATAATGTAGGCGTACATGTATATGTATACATGTGCCCCCACATCATAATGTTTTTCACCTCTAATTTGTGTCACTAAGTTTGAGTTTACAAGGTTGAGTTGCCAGATTATTTACATAGTTGCCTTAAAGTTTAAATTCCTCATTACCCAGCAATTATTTGCTGATCCTGGATTTAGTTAGTAATTTTAATTTATAAGAGTATCCTTTGGAGAAAAATTCAACTGGAAAATGTGATGATGTGTTGTACGTGTTACTTTTTACATTTAAGTTTGCTCGTAATCATCTAGAGGAGCTCGTAATCATCTAGAGGAGACTGATACGCATTTTGGAAGCAGGAGGAAAAAACTCACCTTTGTTTTTTTAATACCATGCCTATTATGAGGAGTACAAATTGATATGTCCTAAAATAAGAACTTAATAAAGGAGGGAAATCCCTTTTGTCTGCTGTAAGAATAGTGTATTGTTTAGATTTAATTTACAGTTGTCTTACTCTTAGATGAAATTTTAGGCATTTAATCAAAATATAGCAAATTTTACTACTCTTACACTATCAGTGTAAGGTAATTAGGTATAAAGAAAATGACAGTTTCTAAAATAATTACCTCTTATAGTTTTATAAGGTGCACAGTCAGGTTACAATTCCATCTTTACCCATTCTATAGCTCTGCTTTGGTTTTGAAAGCCATGGGGGTTTTTTCCCCTTAAACTTGAAGTAGCATTATAAAATGTAATAGATAATATCCTCAGTAAAAGATAAAATTAAAAAGCATTTCCTATCTCTTTGTGCTGTTGATGTCAATGAACAGGGATTGCCTCTAGATGTGTTCAGTATTGGGTTTTTGAATTTGTGTAAAGCTCAAATGAAGCTGCAATTTCTGCATATAGTTTTAATTAACCCTAAAGATTTGAAATCTTGATAGACTAAGCTTGAGGATTGGGACTGTGTTTTATTTCATGCAAATTTCTATATCTGGGCACACTGTAGAGCCTAATGTTGGAGTGAATGGGTGAGTGAATGAGCAAAAAGAAATTTACATACCATAAAAAAGACTTTTCTGCATCTAGATTTTATCTTTGGTTTTTCTTATCAGTGGTGGTTTTTTGGTCACTTAGTCTGAATTTCATACCTGAATACACAGAAACTTTTAGATCCCAAAATTCAGATTGGAGAGTAGAACAATACTGACCTTAAAAACCCAGGGTCAATGTAATATACCTGAGGGCTCTAGAAAACATTAGAGGGGAAATGTATGAAGAAACAATTATTTGGAGGAAGAAGACCTGAAGGAGTTGAAATCTGTTCATGAAGCTTGATTAAGGTTTTGAGAACAACCAAAGCTCAGTGCAAGGATTGAACTCTACTTTTATTACCAACCCATCAGTCTATTTATGTCAGGGAATGGCAGAGAAACAACCTAGCTTTAGGTCTCTATTGTCTCTCATTTGCTTTTTCATACCAAACTGGTATTTGGAAAATCTGGAGCCAAGTAGTAAAGAAGAATTCAACACTCTACCCATAATTCATACTAATTGGGTGGTCAAACTAGGAGATCATGTGGAATTTTATTTGCTGTAGGCTAATTTGCCATAGCCTAATAACAGGGCATACATATTAAGTATCCTTTTTTGTTAAATCTTAGAGTAATAGTTACATTAGGATATTTTATTAGTTTATTAGAATGTCAAATAACATATTACATGTGTCTTATTAACTAAAAAACCAACTATAGGAAAACTTCTAATTTATTAAAGCAACTTGCAAATGGTAAACATGATATAAACAGGTCAGGAAGTGTTCCTGGGTTTTCAGAAAGGTAACATTTTTGTGCTAAAGGAAGGCTACTTGCCTAGTACCTGTAAGAAATTGTAGTATCGCCAGAAAAGAATTTAAGGAACAGTTTGGGGGTGGGGGGTGTTGTTTTGTTTTTTAAAGATTATCAGAAACATCATATTTTAACAAATGTTTTAACTGTTACAGCTAAGTAGATAACAAAAATGAATGAAAACCACACGGTAATGTTTTTCTTAGGATTTCTGTTTTCACAAATTTAGATGCCCTGTTCTTCACTGGTTCTTGAGTTACGGAAGGTGGTCATCAACCTTTTGAAAAATAAGATGAAAGCTATGTTCTTTCTCCCTAGAAAAAATATGTTTACATATATTATCACAATTTTTGCATATTTCAGTGAATTCATGGGCCTCCCTAAAGCACATCTATGAGTCCTGTAGACAAACTCCATGTTAAAAAAAACCCTGCCATAATAATTATATTTCCCCCAGACTACTCTTCTACTGTATTAAAAAATAAAATTATTTTTATGAAATATGGCATTGCCTCCCTAAGCTAGAGTAAATCTTATGAATTTAAGCTAGACTAAATCTTACAAATGAAAGGACTTCTGGGAAGTCTGTGATGGTTGTTACTTGTGAATTTTGGTTTTCAAAAGATGTTAGATATGAAGACAAAATGTACAAAAATCTATCAGTCGGAACATAAAAATACTCAGAATTTTATTTTCACATGATAAATTTAATGGAGAATAATGAACATGCATTGGAGAAAGTGGTAAAAATGTGAAAAGAAAAAATTTAAAAATAATCTCAAAACCTTTACAAAAACCTTATCCTAAGAAAATGTTATTCATTAACTGTATATTGTTAATTCTGGTAAAATGCTAAAAATGTGAACATTTCTTCTGCAGGAGTTTATGTATGTGATCTTTTCATCTTAAAACACTCCCACGTCTTCACCCTCTAAAACCCTATTTATAACCTTTGTTATCTACCCAGTTTTGATGTAGATAACACAGCTGCAGTGTTAGGAAACAAGACATTCTGGATCGAGGTTCTGTTCAAGTTTATTTGACATATATTTATTGAGCTTCTAATTGTAAGTCGCTGAATCAAGTGCAAGATAAAATAATGCCTCAGTAGGTTATTTACGTAAACTTATGTTGAATTCAAATCTCCATCTCTGGGTTTAGGTATTCTTAAGGTGAAATCCTCTTTAGGCTCTTTATAAAAGAATTCAGATAGATGCTTTTATATGGTCAGAAAAAAATGTCTTTGAAATTTTAAATAGCCATATGGCTCTACTAAGCCATATAGATTTTATCAATATAAAATAAAGGATATTTTGACAGGCCACTTTATTTAGAATTGGAAGGAAAAGTATCCAAACTTTGTCAGAATGTGCTAAATGCTTTCAGCTGTAGTTTTTCTATTCTGAATCTTCCCAGTAGTCTTTCTGTAAAGGGTTAATATTGAATTGAATATGATGTTTACTATGACATATAAAACCAGACTCTAGAACTTCTTGGATTAGTCATTGAAATCACTGGCCTAGAATTTGGTACCTCCTAAATACTATTCACAGTACTGTTAAATCTCCTCACTGTTTTTGATTTGTTTTTAGAGAGGCAGTCTCCTGTCACCCAGCCTACCACATAGGGCTTGTTATTTTGAGTGAGTCATTTAGTGAGGCTTTTTGGTTAGTAGTTTTTTCTTGGTTAGTAGTTTTCATCTTCAGCTTGTAGATACCCTAAATCTCAAGTATGAAATTAATTACATGTGAATTTAAGGATTAAAGAAAAAATCACCCACTGCCAACGATGTTACTTGTCTGATACGATGGTTTTCTGAAAACAACAACAACAACAAAAAAAACTGCTTAAAGCCTTTTTCCTGAAACATTTAGTTTATGTTTACATTAATCTTTCCATCTCTCATCTTTTACTGTACTAATTGTTGGTATTACACTTAATTGTTCTCAATTGTTACATCTTACTTTTGCTTCCCTAAATTGTACATTTCTAGAACTGGTGATTCTTATTTTTGGGATCTTCTTTTTCCCAATGCGCTGCACAGGATAAAATTAGGTAAATTTGGGGTGTTTATTATATGCCAGTTGCTTTTCTATATTTGTTGCATGTACTAACTCCTTTGATCCTGCAGACAGCTAAATGAAGTAGATACCATTATCTCTTTCACCTGAAAACAGGTTTGAGTAATTTTCCAAGCTGTGAGAGCTGGTGATAGAGCCTAGATTTAGACCCACACTTTCAAAATCAAGAGCCATGTGATAACTAACTATATTGCCTCATCTATAGTAGGTTTTTGATGAATACTTTTTTCCTGATTAT